GCTATCGGTGTTCCGGGCGAAGGCAGCGGCTGTCAAGTTTGTAGCTGAGCATAGTGAAGGGAACGCAGACCTCACCTTGGATTGCAAGGGCATCCTGCCTAGAGTGAATGGTACACCTTCCATCCAGTCTGCCGACCTCTTCGACCCCATCCGACTGCATGCACAGAGACTCAGCCTTAACTGGGTATCCTCGCATTTAACGGAAGAACAATTCCGAGCAAAGTTTGGTGCTAACCAGCTTTGGAGGCGACGTGCTAACGAAATTGTGGACCAGCTTGTTGGCACGGCTGCCGAAGCTCGTAGGGACCTGAACTTTGAATCCCAAATTAAAAAGCGTGATGCAGTTGCCATTCAGGTTAACACCTTACTGGCCAAGAGAGCTGCAGCTCTCCTTTCGTATGACAAGGACCAAGGACCGCTGGTTCAGCCTGACAAAGAGCAACGAAAGCTCCGCCAAAAGCCCAGGGTTAGGGATTCGGGTGTCCTGAAAAATTCTAAGCTCCCCAAAATCAAAGGTCCTAACAAAAGGGAACAGATTGAAGGCCTTCTTGCTGGTACACAGAACTTGGGGCACACCTGGGTAGAGGGTTGTAGGCTTCCTTCCAACCTTTCAGCGCGGTGCTCGAGGTGTGAGCTATACATCCAGCAGACTGAGCCCCTCCCTACCTTTTCCCTTAAGATCAAGCACCCTTGCCTTGGTGTTCAGGCGGACCCTCCTCCTTGGGATCCCCACCCTGATCATGTGTGGGTTAATTTAGGTAAGTCCTGGGTTTGCTCAAAGTGTGACAAGATGGTCAAAGTTGGTGTCCGCAAAATCCCGACCTGGATTGTAGCGCCTTGCAGGCCCACCAAAAGTAAGGTTGCTACTGCTAGCTCCAAAAAAGCAAAGGAGGTGACTGACACTGGGGTTCAAAGTGTTCGGGCCTTTTTTGTGTCGTCCTCCAGTCAGGAACCTTCACCTAAAATTTCTGTTCCCAAGCCTAAGCCAAAATCCAAAGCGAAGCAGTCTGGGCTCAAGCAAGCTAAGATTGCCTTTTAGCACGCTGCCTGTCCATAAGTTGCCTGCCGCCAAGGCATACTTCAAGCCCGGCCAGGCAAGCGTGAAAGTGCCTGGCTCAAGCAGTCTGGGCACAACCAAGCTAAGACTGCCTTCTGAGTATGCCTCCGAAGCATAAATCCCCTGCCTCCAAGGCCTACTCAAAAGCCCGGCCGGGCAAGCGAGAGAGAGCTCGGCTTAGAGGTGCAGCTCCTAAGAGAGCGCCGCCTGCTGGTGTGAACCCCCCGCCTCCCAGGCGGAGAAGGGTGGAACCGCAGGATGAGCAAGCCCCTGAGCCCGGGCCACAACACGTGCAACCCCCTGAGCCCTTGGTGGATAACCAGGCTCAGGGGAGGAGGAATCCTGGAGTCGTGCTTCGGGAAAATCCTCAGCTCGAGCAGCACAATCCTGTGCACCGCCCCCCAGCCGTGGTGGCAAACCAGGCTGAGAGGGATGAAGCTCCTGGAATTGTCCTTCGGGAGAATCCCCATGCACCTGGGGCTGGTCCGGTTTTGGGTGCCCCAGACCAGGACAGCTGCTCTGAAGAAAGCGAGGAGGAGCCAATGGTGCCTGACCCCATTGTGCATCCCGAGCCTCCTCCAGCACCGCCAGCTGCGCCTATGTTGCCTGCCCCGTTGAACTTTGACGATATGGATCAAGAAGCGGGCGCAGCCTTTGCTATTGCTGAGAGGGCTCGCAATACCAAGCCAGGACTGGTGGCTTTCAAATCCGATCTGGGCTATCCTGGTGTCTTCCAGGCCCTTCCCAAGGACCTGATCCACGTGTGGTTCAATGACACGGGGGACAGCACTGCGGCGTATATCCATAATGGAAGAACCAGATTCGGATACGACGCTGGTGGTGGCTACGTCTTGAAGGTTGGGACGAAGCAGGCCTTTGGAGATGAGGTGGCGATTTCGGCCTTGCTGCCTAAGGTGGCAGCCACCATCATTGGGGCTGGATCTACGACACTGCAGGTGCTGCTCTCTGGGCGACCATGGGAGTTCAGGTCCCATTTGGTGGCGTGGTCGATGGTGGAAAAAATCGAGCTCCTCACGGATTTTGGTTCTCGGAACCAGATCCACCCTCAGTGGTCCTTGTATGCCTTCGCCCTCCTTTTGCAATTGAGCCGTCATTTTGCTCTTCGTGATGTGTCAAAAACCAACCTGGGAATTAAGCCAGGACTCAGTGCTGCGACGCCCATGTTGTGTTTTTTCGATCTCGCGGATTGGCACTTCGAAGGGCTCAATGCTGGAAGGTGGATTCCCAAGTATAGCTTGCGCAGCTTCGTCGAGACCCTTCGATGTGTCTGTGACGTTACGCCATTGGAGCCGTATCTCCGCAGGCAGGAGGTGGTCCCTTGCCTCAACGAGATCATTGCAGGTCTCCCCGCTGCGCTCAAGGCAAACTTGGAAATCCAAATGGTCCTCATGGACGGCCGACTTTCTGATTGGGCTCACCTTGCTGCATTGGCTAACCAATAAGCTTGGGCCTTCCAAGCTTTTGGTGTTGTCAGTCAGGTCTTGGGGTCTCCAGACCATTCAAGGCGTGGGCCCAGTCTTGCTGTGTGTGATTGCAGATGCTCGGGTTGTTGAACCCCGACTGTCATAGCCTGCTACCGTGAGTCTGCGGGCTTGGGCGTTCCAAGTGCAGCTAGGCCTTGGTGTAACCAGGCCTCAGGCATGGGTGCCAGCCTGAAGTGAGTGGCGCAACTTGTAGCAGGGTAGGTGTAACCCCGACTGTCTCACTTCTGAGCTTGGACTCAAGGCCTACTCCTTGCAGCTACTGCGTGAGTGGCTTGTTTCTTTCTTAGGGTAGGTGTTCACCCGACTGTTTCACACAGAGCCAATGGACTCAAGGCCTCTGGCCGCTTCGTGCTTGCGTGGGAAAGTTTTTGACTTCCTTGTGAGTGCCTTTACAGTTGACAGGATGTCTTGCACGTGTGACATGAACCACGAGTTTGCATTGCATGAGTTGAGAGCTGTGCTTGAACCGTTTGTTTGGTGTTAGCAGAAGCAGGCATGGACATAGCATGTTTGGAGCTTGGCTTGAAAGTGTTTCTTGCTTTGAGCTTGACGTGAGATGTTTGGAGTGTGCATGATGAGCAGAGAAGCACTCGAGATGCTTTAGGAGCATCCTTGAAGAAGTGCGTGTCGCTCTGAGTTTGCTCTTTAAACCTTGGCCGCCGACCCTCGCTTCGCTCGTGTCGTCGTACTGAGGTTCGAGCAGAGTGGCTGTGCACTTGTATGCTTGTTTTGCTGAAGCACTGAAGTCCTGAGAAGCACTAGGACGTTTGCATGTGTTCCTCCTTTGTTTAACAAAGTTGAGATGGAATTCACGAAAGTGAAGCTGCGCTGACTCTGCGAGAGACTTGCCGAACACCTCTGGTGTTTTGGCTCAAGCGTGGAGTGAAAAAGAGCTCTGCGTTTTTCACAGGAACATGACATGTAAGATGGACTGTGTGCCACCCAGAAGCAGTAACGGGTGAGTCTGCCAGCGGAAGGCACGCAAGTGGATGATCTCCGACCGTTTAAACATTACATGTGCTCTTGTTAATCTTGTTAAGAGGCGTAACGCAGAAGAACCCAGCGCTCTCCAGCAGGAACAGCGAAGAACCACTTTCCCTTCCAAGAAGCCGGAGCCAGTTTTGCGTTAACGGACGCCAGACAGACAACAGACTGCAATTGCCTCCAGCAAAGCATGTGCCACGGAAGAGTCTGGGCCTTCCAAAACCTGGCCAACATCATTCCCTGCTTAGCACACCATTCTAACCACGTTGGATTCTGCAGAGATCCAACAGAAGAAAACAGGCGTTAGACGTTGCACTAAGTCTTACCTTCAACGTAAGAAATTAGCAGGTTATTGCCGATTGACGTTAGAACCACTGGTGAATCCAAGAAAAGGGCCTAAAGAGTGGGAGCTTCTTCAAGAAAATCAAAGAGCTTGAATTTAAGAAAGGTTGAGTTGACCAAAATGGAAGCAAACTGATGCGCAGGCCAACGCAAATGCTGTGTGGCCTTGTGTGCAATGTCTTGACAGGGGGTCTTCGGTTGCCACTTTAAACTCTGTGCTTTTGAGGGTTTGGCAACGTGCTGATGACGCTCACGGTGGAATCGAGCTACTCACGCAGCCTCCCTCTGGCCGTCTGATGAGACTTTGCTTGTGCGCGGACATCTTTTCAGGTGGGCGCAGCTGCAAGCCAGGGTGAGCGGAGGACCTTTTGCTCGGGGCTGCTCCACTGGCTGACCACCATGGAGTGCCCTGGGCCGGTCTTGCTTTGATAGTTCTTGCTGTTAAGTCCCCACTGGCTGACCACCATGGGGCATACGCACGTCTTTCCTCTCCCTGGGGAGTCAACATCCCTTTGCCACTGTGGGTCCGTTATCTGTCCTTGACGACGGGTACGGGACCCTGACTATCGAGTGATGACCTCGGTTCGATTCGAATGATGTCGCACCAGTTGCTACATGATGGTGGTTTTGAGAATCTGGCAGTGTCGCATTTTGCGATTCCCCGCATGCTCTGTGCTATATGATTGCACCAGGATTTCAACGACGACTTCGAGTACTGAGCGCGTGGGGTTACCTAGTAGTTCGGCGCCTTTGCTTGCTTTGTTTCTTCTGTTTCTTTGGTTCTTGGGTGTTTGCGTGGTGTGTTTGGTGGTTTAAGCGCGCTGACTTCGTTTCACCTGTTATGTCGAGCCCAACAAGACCGGCCTACTGCGCTACTGATGTAGTAAAGAGGCGTCAGTCCAAAAAAAAAAATACAGCCCTTCCACAGCACTTGGTGAAAGTCCGGCGGCTCTTCGAATTGGGGTCTAGCGCAGCAGCGGGCGGAGAAGGAGGTCGTTAAACGCAAGTGCTTTGGGGGTCTGAACGACAAGGACTTGGTGAAGCAAATCGGCGCGGTGAAGGTCACATGTTGGAGCAGGTCGTTCTGGACTTCGAGCACGAGCCTGAGTACCATGCTGCGGTCAAACGCTTTTGCTACGTCCTCAAGCCTTCATCTATGCGAAGCACCGAAGAGCTATGACGGCCACAAGACTGAAAGGCCGGAGGGGGTGGACGCGAAGGAGACGAACAAGGTGGGCTCCTTCAAGATGGCGATGGCGGTGGCCAGGGACGGCAAACGACGCGAGATGGCAGTGGAGGAGTTGAAGAGGGGTTTCTGCGCAGAATCGAATAGAGACTCCCAGCGCTCCAAAATGTCGTCTTGGCCGGTGGCGGCGTCGCTGAAAGCGGCTGGCTTAAAGTCGGCCGGAGCACTAATCAATGAGCTCAAGCTGTGGCATATCGAACAAGGACGCCAAGTGTTGAAGAGGTCTCTTTCTCGCGGTGTAGGTCCCGTGAAAAGGGCTCCGGAGCTGAAGGTGGGCGAGGTGGAAGTTTCCAAATAGAATTGCAAAGCACATGCGGGAATCTCAAATCCGGCGCTGGCTTTCGCCTGGGCAACCATCTGGATGCTGAGGTGCGCGGAGCTGGTGGTGGTCAAGTGGGCGCACGTTTCCGTGGATGCCCGCGCGAAGACAGTCACCCTCAAGATCCCATTGTCCAAAATGGACCAATCTGGCTGGGGGGTCAGGCGCACCTTGGGCTGCTGCGGCCAAAGGAAGTGCGGCTGGTCTTGCGCTTGGAAAGTCTGGTCGGAGCTTGAAAAGAGAAGATCTTCATCAACGGAGTTTGTTTTCGTGCAAAATGGCACGGACCCCAAGAACACGGGCAAGATGGCGGCGGCTTGGAAGTGCGTGTTGAGACCGGACTTGACAGGGCATTCTGCTCGCAGGTCGGGCGCTATGATGTATGTCAGGGCTGGGCTACAGGCGGTGGCGTTTTGGGAAGCTGGAAATCAAACACCGTGCTGATCTACGCGGAAGAGGCGCTGGAGGAGATCCCGGCAAATCAACGGCTGCTCCCTGGCTCCGGCTTTGCTGCAACAACGAGGCTCTCCTGTTGGAAAGCCCCAAAGGCTCCGAGGACGCCAGGCGCGGACATGGGAGATGACGTCCCGATACCTATGACGCCTCATTCCACCTCGCCTCCTACGCCCTCGAAAGTGGTCGACGAGCAGCAAGGATCGAAAGACGCAGCCATAGTTTCCTGCTTGACTTTTGACAGGCCGAGGGAGCTATGGGTTTACTCAATCCGTGACAACAGAAAAGACCCAACTCTCCATTTGGTGGCAGCAGCTGGATGGGAGATGCCCATGAGTGAGTGGAAAACAGCGTGCGGATGGCCTTTTGCCAGAAACGAGGCCGAGGCGGCCTTTTCTTACGTGCGTAACCTCACAAGAAAGAAATGCAGAAAGTGCATTCTCAACAAAAGTAAACGCGACGGTGTCAGTGAGGTTGACATTGGGCGTTTACGTGCTAGCTCCTTTGCTGGCGCTCTTGTGCAGAACGGCATGCGTCCAGCATCAGAATATGAAGCTGCACCACCGACTTTGAAAAGTGAGTCAAGGGCGGAGGGTTGGGAAGTGATGTGCAGTTGAGTTTGCCTGAAGCGAACAGAGTGAGCACAGGCAAGCACGAAACTGCGAATTGGGCAGGGGGGAGGGACATGGAGGGACATGTCTGAAGCAGAGCCGCTGAAGAAGCAGCTGTTTGCCTCAAGGGCATGCTGCTGAAAAGGGCTCTGCTGCCCAACATTTTTCTCCCACCCACCCAGCCCGTGGTTGACATTGGGCGTTTACGTGCTAGCTCCTTTGCTGGCGCTCTTGTGCAGAACGGCATGCATCCAGCATCAGAATATGAAGCTGCACCACCGACTTTGAAAAGTGATTCAAGGGCGGAGGGTTGGGAAGTGATGTGCAGTTGAGTTTGCCGGGGTGACGGGGTTGTTGGCCCCCACGCCCAGGATTCCTGCTGAGGGGTGACGGGGGTTGTTGGCCCCGCGCCCCGCATCGTGGAAGCGGACTTCCCTCGTTTGCCCCGCCCCCCCCTGCTCGAGGTGGATCCTGAGTTCAGGTACGACGATAGGGGGTCGGGGCTGACGATCGGGAAGTCGGAGCAACAGGGGATATGTGTTTACTCATGGTTGTTTACAGTTTTGAGAAAGATCATCACGCTTTGATGCTTATGGTTCAAGCCACACACACACCATGCAAGAGTAGCATCAGAGCATTGCTTGGATAGCTTTGACTTTTTAAACTTGGATAGCTTTGACTTTAGCGGCAATCTTGGCACGCGCAGATAGTTCACTCAGACTTGCCTTGATTTAAGATGCTGCAACACTTCTGTATCACTGCATGTTCCGTGTGGGGTTGCTGCTTCGCCCTTCTGTCCATGCCGAACAGCCATAGACTTCATGGGAGCACAGTTACTGCGCTCAGTGCACAGGCATCGTGTCGCAGTCCTGGGGCTGCGCTTTCACCGGTGTTGGCACCTGGCACAAGACATGATGCGATTTTAGCAGGAGGTCGGAGTGCGGCTTCCGGGCCCAACGGGCCGTGCGAGCAGGCCCTCATGACTGCGTGACAGCTTTGGCCCGACCTGGTACAGCTGCAGGAAGCTTGCAAGCCACCCGAGATGCTTGCAAAGGTGAACAAAAGCCGAGCACGATGTGAAGCCTGTGTCCATACCAAGAGGCCCGGTGCCTTAGCCGTCTCCAACAGAAGCCCTGCTGACGTCAGAGGCAGCCTTGGGTGTAGTCAGTGTAGTCTGTCTTCTCTGCTCGCTTTGCCAGCAGACGTTGAAGACCAGCATTTGGATAACTGCAGCTTGCTTGATGCCCTGTACGCTTGGGACTGCGTAGGCAATTGAAGGAGATGCCGCACCTGCTTCGTGAGTTGCTCTTCGGCTTGGAGCACTGGGTCAGCTAGTGCCCCTGTTGGTACGCAACAACGCTAGTTGTTGCAATACCTTCACATACATTTCCACCTCCATTCAGGTGTGTCAGCCCTGGCGTGCACACGAATGCACGCGTGTCTGCGTGTGAGTTGGTAGTGCTTGTTGGGTGAATGCAAATAGGATCAGTGCTGCAAGCAGTCTCAAAGGCTTCCGCAGTGTCAGAGATTCGGGGTGACTCGCTTTTGCAGGCCCCCAACTTGCTTAACTGGGAGTAAGGGGCTGGCATTGGACACTGCAGCAAGAAGTAAGCCTCCTGCCTCGTGCAGAGTTTACCCAGTTCAGCTTTGGAAGGAGCGCGCAGCAGGTCAGCAACCGGATTCTTCCTGCAATCCACAGCGTTGCCTGCCCATCTCGCCTCAGTGCTACATGAGGTCGTGCAGAAGCCGTGGGTTCACACAGTTGCACGCCCGTGTTTCTAACGACCTGATTGATCACGATGCACAGTCATGTAGTTCAAAGTCTGGGGGTGAGGGATCGCAAAGGGATATCTGTGGTCTTTTCAGTCCCGAGTTCCTTCATCCCGCTTGCTGTTCTGCTCGCCAATTGCCAGACCAGCACTCCGCCCTGTCTTCTTCGGCACGCGCGTCGCATTGTGTGTCCCAGAAGCTCTGCGCACTTGTTTCTGCCATCCCAGCAACCACTCTTCAAGGCAGGCGTTTGTTGCGGCATGCCAAAGCTGCAGACACTCAGTCCTCGCCCAGATCACAGTGGATTTCGCAGTTCTCAAAGATGCAGGCCATCTAGGCCATGCAGGCCTTCAAGTGTCAGCGGCCTGAAGCGATCTTCAGTCGCCATCCCCACAGCCTTTCCGTGCCCCAGCACGCAAGACTGCACGATCTTCGTGCCGGGAGTTTTTCGAGTCTTCATGCCATGATGTGGTCCATCCTCGAAAGCCGCCCTGAAGACCCCAAGTTGACGTAACGGTCCAAAGCCCTACAGTTGGCTTGGGTTGTCCTCATCGTGTCTCCGTGTCCTTGTCTGCGACATGATGGGCATGACCACATTCACAAAATGCCAGGTGCACGCAAGAGTTGTGCGGGCACGTAGCAGAATGTTGACCTGTACTGCCTTCACATGGGCAGGGTTGTGCCCAGCTCTGTACTGAATAATTTTCTGGATTTGACATGGCCCATCGCTTCTGCAAGGCCACACCGGCCACACCTGCCGGGTGTTTCACTTGCTTCGCGGACTAAGCACCTTTGTAGCTGCAGCGCGCCTCGCGTAAACATTCATCCGCCCTAGAGCGCCCTCCGCAGCGCTTGTCCGCAAGGATCTTGCCGGCAGTTCTCGGCAATTCTCGGCCTACAAGCTGCGTTGCTTCAGCCTGTCGAAGACCTGCCTGGTCGCCGGTATCGCAGCATGCAAGCTGCACGATGGTGGCTTTTGAGCCGCAATGCCAAGACGCCTGGGCAGCCTCGGCTTGCACCGCCAGCGACATGCCGGCAGTCCTCACCTGTCTCGGCTTGCAACATGCACTACTGAGGGCAGAAGCCTGAAGTTCCAGCAGAGCTCGGACGCTAGTCCACCTCGCCATGTCCGCACAAGATGCACAGGGTGGGACTGCTTAAGCGGAACTGCAAGTGCCTCTTGTGTGGCAATGCGCTGAATACATGTGAGATGTGGCGGCGGCTTGCATTCCTCACTGGCCCCCCCCCGCCGGACGAGCCCCTTGGCTCTGCATTGAATGACCGCAGAACAGTGCTGCTTCGCACGTCAGCTGCAGCCAGCCAGCACGGCTCGCACGGGGAGATTTCTTTTCTCTCAAGGCTTTTGAATGAGCGTGCAGCTCCCTCGGCCTCTTTAACGGTTCCCAAAGCTCAACAATTGTGGGCTCAAACGGCCTGAACTGAATTGCCTGACTAATGGATGTCTTTGCTGCACTTTCCCCGATTTATCGGCTCATCTCGCAGTGCGTCTTGAAGGACATCCCTTCTCTGGAGAAGTGCCGGAGTGAAGTGGAAAAGGTGAAGATGCCAAGGTGTTCCTCCTTAGCGTTGCTTCTCACGCTGCGGCTGTCCAAGGGTAGTTTGACCGCGTAGGCTGACGACTGTGCACGGTTTTCCGGCGATGGCACTTGTGCAAGGAAACCATGGAAACCATGGAAACCATGGAAACCATGGAAACCATGGAAACCATCTTCATGCAGCTGCGGAAAGAGTGCCATCTTTGGCGAACCTCAGCTGCAGCTTGTAAGCCTTGTAAGCCCGCATGCATGTGGCCATGGGCTGCATCTGGATGCCAGAACAGACCAATTGCTTGACGTAGCATGAGCTCGCAAGTGCTGCACGAGTTCCCCAAAATCAACCGTCCCGCAGACGGTCTGTGTCCCATGACCTTGACCGTCAGTGAGTCAGGGTAGGTTTGGAGATGTTTCGAGTTTCGGGTGGGCCTTTCGGCTCCCGAAAGTCATCCCCTTGAAGTCGGTTGTTCAAGTTCCCTCGACGGCGTGACACGCCCACCATCCCCCAGGCGTTGTGCTGCTTATCAGTGTCCTTGCAGTCAGCGACCTCGCTGGCCAAGTGTCCCTTGCGAGCTTCAGGCCAAAGACTCCGGCGTCGCGGGGACCTGGACGGCTGGATCAGACATTTGGAGGCGCATGAGTGCAGGACATGTTGTCCTACAATTGCCGGTTACCGCGTCCGGAAGTGGTTGGCCGTGGACGTGCCGTGTCTGCTCCAGGATGCGTGTGGAGTAGCTGCAGGATGTGGACCCCAACGCGCGATCTCGCGCCTGCGTGTCTGTGTGCACTGAGGTTGCTGTGGCGAGTCAGCTGACGAATGAATTCTGAATTTTCTGCCCCAACCGCTGCTTAGCCAGGTGGGATATACCCAGGAGCCAGCGTACAGTGCGTACAGGGCTTGCGTGCCTCAAGAGGCAGCCTCTGCTGTGCTCGACAGCATTCAGAAATCTCTGCCCACAGTACAAGGAACGCTTCAGGGATGTCAACGTACCGAGCTGTGTCCGTTTGGTGGTGGTCGAGCTCGTGGTCTAGGCTCGCACACAAGTTGCCGTCGCCTCCGTCCTCTGTCGCCTGTTTTGTTTGGGGTTGGTTGCTAGGGGGTCGAATGAGTTAAGTCCACTTCATCTGACCACCCTGCTCCTGCTTGAACACAACATCAGCTGACAAGAACATGACAGATAGGCTCGGGGCGATGCTTTATCCGGCCTTTCTCTGCTTTCGACATGCCCAGCTGTGCAACATCGCTCGCCGCTCGTCTCGTGCGTGTGTGGCATCGCGCCGATGACAAGGTACTGCGTGGTTCACACTGCTGAACGGCTGAGATCACCTTTGGGCCAGATTGAAAGCCTTGGATGCCACACATAGCTTGACGCCTACTTACTATCCCCTACCGGTCTTGAGTGGATGTTGATCCAGCCGGCGGGCTTATGTCCACGAACAGCCTGGGCTCCTGCTTGAGTCCATTGAACACTTGAAATGACCAGAACATGACAGATGGGCTCAGGACGACAAGTTGTGCTGGATGTCTTTGCTCTCGACATGCCCTGCCGTGCAAGATAGCGTGCCGCTCGTCTCATCCGTGTGTGGCCCCGGCGATGCTGCGTGCCGAGATGACAAGGTGCTCTGTAGCTGAGACCGCTGAACGAGTGCCGATACTGTTTCTCAGAGCCTGCTTTGGATGGA